TCCTTCCTTCCTTTTTCTTTCTTTCTTTTGCCTCATGGAAGGACGAAAACCAGACAGGTTTGTATTGCCTGTATAGAGCTGTTTCTATTGTGAAACAATTGTTCCTTTCATGAAGTATGTTTTCACCCATGCTTCTATCAAGGAACCGAGGGCAATGGGAAAAAGGCGCCTTCCTTAGCAGGTTGGAGCTCCTGGCTGCCGAGTCAGGACTGTGAGTTTGAATCCCACCATGTCTATGAGAACAGGGGCCCGCTGAGATCATGCAGAGAGTGTGTGAGAGTGGTGGAGCTCTATGCCTTGACGTCTTTGTAGCTTTGGGTCAGCAGCGCAGAGTGCCAGAGCACCACCACCAGGAAGAGCTGGTAAACCACCCTTTATGTTGAGAAAACCTTGGGTAAATTGTTATTCCTATAGGACAATGGTCCCCAACCTTGGGCCTCCAGATGTTCTTGGACTACAACTCCCAGGAGCCTTCACCACCACCTCTGCTGGCCATGATTTCTGGGAGTTGAAGTCTAATAACATCTGGAGGCCCAAGGGTTGGGGACCCACTGCTATAGGGGACTCAAGAGACACAGGACTTGCTGTCAAGTTGGGCTTAAGTCGCACTGGTGACTTGACTCCCCCCTCCATGACTTGAACTGAAGTCGCAACTCAGAACCCACCTGCTCTCCTTCCTATTTTTCTTGGGGCACAGAGCTTGTTTTTGGAACTCGGACCCACAGACTTGCGAACATCCCTGTTATATAATAATTAATTATCATTATTTTCATTTTTTTAAAATCCTCACACCATGTCTTGTCAGGTAGCTGAGGCCTGAAGACTGTCCTTGATTCAGTCACACGATGGGTCTGACCATCTGAGGTTCCTCAGTCCAGTCCTTTCATCATCTTCTGGTTTCCCAAAGCAAAGGAAATAGAAATATTTTAGACAAATTGGTATCTGGACATTAGTGGTTGATTATATGGGAAAGAAGTGGAATATGTGAATCAATACAAAGCTGGGAGGAGGAGGCCATGTTTTATTCCAGGTTAATGTAAACAAATTGCTCCCCCTTTCATCCTCTACCCTAGATGCTGGGATGATGAGGAAGAGAACGTGGTCGTGCTGTGGATCATCAAGGGACCCATCCTATTAACAGTTTTAGTGAGTTTTCCTTTTGATCTGATTGCTTTGAAGTACAGAAAGCCCGGCAATTGTCTTGAGTCGCTAGGGAAAGCTGGACCTTCAGCCGTGATCAAGCGCATGGTACCGCTGTGAAGATGCATCCGTTCCAGTATTTATTTATTTATTTATTTATTTATGTATTTATTTATTTATTTATTTATTTATTTA